CAGCACTGGCAAAGAGATCCTTGCAATCCCCCTCTGATCAGCCACTTGATTCCCTCTCAGTCTGTGGGCTGGAAGCTCAGGAGGCAGCCGCTGCCCCAGGGGCGGCTGAGACCTAGCTTCTCTCTCTCTCTCACCATAGTCATAGACTTTTCCCACTGACTTTCCAAGTTGTCTTTGGTGTTCATGGGTTGAGAAGTCTGGAAACCGCCACCACTGCCTGTGATTCAGCCCTCCGAGGCCTGCTCCAGGGTCGCTGTGGCCTGTACGCCCACACCAAACTGCGCTCCTCTCCCCGGCGCAATATACCTTTCTTATCAACCATCTAGGTTGTCTTGGGCTGGAAATTTGTTTCACTTTGTCTTTTTGTGGGTTCTGCGTCTTTAGAATTTGTTTAGAGCCATTTTTTATAGGTATTTGGAGGGGTTTGGGGGAGAGTTCAAGCAAGTCACTGCTTTCTCTCTGCCATCTTGGCTCCGCCCCTCCCCCCATGGCTTACTTTCTAATGGAGGAAGGCTACGCATAAAAGGAAGATGAAAAGGGGAGGAAGGAGGGGAAGCTCCCTGTGGGAGGAAGGGCTTGGAAGAGAATGTCCTATGGAGATGAGTCAGAAGTGCAGCCTGGAGACAAATGAAGACCTGGTTGGTCTGGGCCTCCTCCTTAAAGTGGAGCTTCAGAGAGGAACCGGACAATTAGGAGGAGCTGGAGGGCTGGCCGCTTCTACCAGAATGAGAAGTACAGGGACAGAATGAGCTTCCAGAGTGAAAAGGTTTCTATGACATGGGAGAGGAAATCCTGTGGAGATGAGTCCTGGAGAGGAATTTTACTTCCCTATTTTGTCCTTTATTTTAAAGAAAATATGTTTTGGATATTGGATTACAGACTACCCAAAAATGCTTATTAAGACAAAGATTATTCTATCCTATGTACTTGACTTTCCTCCATCAAACAACTCAGGATTGGGATTAAGGCTCATAGCTTTCTACTTTTGGACCTCTCTGGGGCAGAGTGCAAATGATGCTGTGTATGTATTATCATTAACACACCAAGCCATCTTGGCACCTTGAAGAAGACTTTTTTCACCTTCATCTCTTCCTCCCCCATGTGTCAGGGCCGATCCCTCTCTATTTTGTATTGCTTTTTTATATCCTTAAGTACATATAGCTAGTCCTCCCCCATTGAATGTGAACTATCCCCATGTGCAAGAACACCTCCTAAAACTTCTTCCATGAAGAGAGCAGACTGTTTAATTTCCACGCTTGTACCTCAAAATGCCTGGCATAAAGGTGGTTAATAAAGGTTTGTTGATTGATTGAATATGGCCCTGCTTTCTATGACCTTACTTTCTGATAGGGTGGGAGAACAAAATGAACACAGGTAGGCCAATTCAAATTATATAAAAAGTAAAAGCAAATTAATTTCCCCAGGAGGGGGGCACCAGCCACTTGGGGTGAGCAGTTGTAGGGGAGGAAGGGAGAGGTGGAAAAAGCAGACATAAGGAATACTTATGACCCTGAATTGTAAAAAATATTCCCTACATAGACAACTTGTGGTCTTCCCCAAGGCCCATGTGAAAGGGGTTTTCTGGGTGACCTTCCTTCCCTCTTCCTATTTTTTCCTGATTTCCTATTGAATTTAATGTATTTCTACACCAAACTGTGTGTTTGTGTGTATGTGTGTTTTCAACCCTTATTTGTCAGATCCGTATGAAAGTAAGATTTATGTAAAGCCCTTTGCCCCACTCCTCTCTCCACATTTGTATAGTTCTTCTCAAGCATGTGAGATAGTTCTATCTTCTTTCTCTCTTTCTTTCCTTCTTTCTTTCTCTCTCTCTCTTTCTTTGTGTATTCCTTTTTTATTTCCCTTTTTTCTTTTAAGTTCATAAACATATAACAAAACTATTCCTAGGCCCTCCGTCTTATTTATTTCCTGTGACCTTTAAAGATATTAAGATTATGAGGGGACATTTGTTTCTTGTCTTATTAGAATTTCAACGCTTCATCATTTTATGGCCTTTTCCATTTGCTCAAATATATTTACCTCTCTTTATTTCTCTTGGCTTGTTTTTCCAAAGTATCTACTAAACTCTGGTCTTTTTGGGAATACTCAAAAGTTCTGTTTATGCCCCCTCATCTCCACCCCAAGATCAGACTTAGTTTTGCTGGGTGAGTTAACTCTTTGTGGTAAGCCTTTATTTTTTGCCTTTTGTAGTCATGTATTCCAGGGGGTCCTCTCTTTTGTAGTAGCCACTGCCAGGTTTTAAATGATCCAGACTGATTCCTTAGTACTTGAATTCTTTCTTTCTGGCTGTTTGTAATATTTTTTCTTTGATGAGAAGTCTCTAGATTTGGGTTGTGACATGACTGGGACTTTTCCTTTTGGGATTTCTTTCAGGAGATTACTGGTGAGTCCTTTCTGTTTCTACTTTGCCCTCCTGTTCTCCTAAGTCTGGGTAGTTTTCATTCATGATTTTTTGAAAATATGGTATCTAGGCTTTGTGGTTGAGATTTTCGAGTAATCCAATGATTCTTAAGTTATCTCCTTGACTTGTTTTTCCAGGTCATTTGTTCTTGATAAGAGATACTTTACATTTTATTATTTTTTTCAGTCTTTTGTCTTTGTTATAATATTTTTTTGTTATCTGTTTGGTCCAGTCTGATTTTTATACTTAAGTAAGGTTTTGCACCCACCCTACTAAGCTATTTATTCTCCTTCCAATTCTTTCTTCTAGAGCACTTATTTCTTTTCCTATTCTTTCCTCTAAAGCTCCCATTTGATTTCTTTTTTTTCTTTTCTTTTTCTTTTTTTTAATAGTTTATTTTGATTTGTCAGTAATCACTTCCATATGCTTTTGAGTTTAAAATTTTTCTCCTCCTTCTTCCCCACCACCCTCCCCAAGACGGCACACAATCTGATATAGGCTGTACATTTACATTCATATTAAACATATTTTCACATTAGTGATCTTGTAAGTAAAAATTAAAACCAATAGGAGGAACCATCAGAAAGAGGAAACAAAACTCAACAGAAGAGAAAAAAAAATAGCAATTCGACTTCCATAGTTCTTTCTTTGGATGTGGATAGCATTTTCCATCACAAGGCCTCTGGAGATATCTTGGATCCTTGTATTGCCAGGAAGGATTAAGTTTATCAATATTAGTCATCACACAACGTGGTTGTTATTGTGTACAATGTTCTCTTGGTTCTGCTCACTTCACTCAGCATCAGACCATACAAGTCTTTCCAGGTTTTTCTGAAGTCAGCCTGTTCATCATTTCTTATAGCACAATAGTATTCCATCACATTCATATACCACAGCTTGCTCAGCCATTCCCCAATTGATGGGCATCCTCTCAATTTCCAATTCTTTGCCACCACAAAAAGAGCTGCTATGAATATTTTTGTACATATAGGTCCTTTTCCCGTTTATGTGATCTCTTTGGGTTATAGCCCTAGAAGTGCTATTGCTGGGTCAAAGGGTATGCACATTTTTATAGCCCTTAGGGCAAAGTTCCAAATTGCTCTCCAAAATGGTTGGATCGTTTCACAACTCCACCAACAATGCATTACTGTTCCAATTTCCCACATCTTCTCCAACATTTATCATTTTCCTGTTTTGTCACGTTGGCCATTCTGATAGGTGTGATGTGGTACCTCAGAGTTGTTTTGATTTTCATTTCTCTAATCAATAGTGATTTAGAGCATTTTTTCATGTGACTATAGATGGCTTTAATTTCTTCATCTGAGAACTGTCTGTTCATATCCTTTGACCATTTATCAATTGGGGAATGGCTTGTATTCTTATAAATTTGACTTAATTCTCTATATATTTTAGAAATGAGGCCCTTATCAGAGAGACTGGTTGTAAAAATTCTTTCCAATTTTCTACCTTCCTTCTAATCTTAGTTGCATTGGCTTTGATTGTGCAAAAACTTTTCAATTTAATGTAATCAAAATTATCTATTTTGCTTTTTGTAATGTTCTTTATCTCCTATTTGGTCATGAAGTCTTCTGTTCTCCATAGATCTGACAGGTAAACTATTCCTTCCTCTCCCAGTTTGCTTATAGTATCAGCCTTTATATCTAAATCATGTACCCATTTTAACTTTATTTTGGTATATGGTGTGAGATTTTGGTTTATGCCTAGTTTCTTCCATACTCTTTTACAGTTTTCCCAGCAGTTTTTTTTCAAAGAGTGGGTTCTTATCCCAGAAGCCGGGGTGTTTGGGTTTATCAAATAATAGATTACTGTAGTCATTAACTACTGTGTCTTGCATATTTAACCTATTCCACTGATCCACCACTCTATTTCTTAGCTAGTACCAAGCAGTTTTGATGATTACTGCTTTGTAATACAATTTAAGATCTGGAATGGCTAGGCCACCTTCCCCTGTATTTCTTTTCATTAGTTCTCTTGATATAAAGCTCCCATTTAATTTACATTGTATTTTTTAACTGTTTCTTTCTTCTAGGAATTCCAATAAAGCTTAAGGCAAATCTATGTGTTTTTTGAGACTTTACTGTGAGTAATTTGGAATTATGCTCTTCTTCTGAGTTTGTGTTTTAGGTATCCCTGGCGCCATGATATTTCTTTAGCATTCGTGTTTTCTTTTGTTTACTAATTTTTCCAGCCTTACTGAATTGGGACTTTGTGTCAAGGGTTGACTCTTTGTACTCTTGGAAGAATGCGTGGGCTTTGGTTTGTCCTGATCTGTGTCGTGTGGAATCTGTGTAATGAGTGCTATGTTTTTCAAGGACCTCAGGGGTGGCTTAGGCCAACATGCTATGTTGGCACTACATCTTTCAGGATGCCCTTTGACTGTTCTTCCAGTGAACATTCTGTAGGCTCACAAACCCCTGGTTAGACCCTGGCCTAGGCTTTTGTTTTTCCACTGTTGATCATCCTTTTTGATAGTAGAAATAGAATCTAGGCCATTATAAAGCAGCTTCTTTTTTCCTAATACAGAGAATACCATGTATATTCACTTTATTCTTTCTTTCAGAGTGGCTTAGTCCAGATACTGGGTGTGAAACAACAAAGTCAGCTCCAAATCATGACACTTCTTTAGGAGGGACAACCAAGGAAAGACTCAAGAGAGAAGATCCCTGGGATTCTAGGTTTGCAGAAGCCTGAGGATATGTTACGAGCTTAGAGCAACAGAATGGCAAGCATGAAAAACAATCCCAGCAGGTAAAAATCACCCACAGGAAAAATGCATTTGGAAAAGGCCTTGATCTGGAGTCAATCCTGGTTCCAAAAAACAAAGTCCACATGGGGGAGAGTTTGCACCAATGTGACACCTATCTAAAGAACTTCAAACAGTGTTCAGACAAGAGTAAACTGCATGGAATTTTTACTAAGAAAACACTTTGTAATTATCATAATTACAGAAAACCATTTGGTTGCTATTCAGATCTCATTCCAACATCGAAAGAAAAATGCCAAAGAAAAATTACATCATTGTGAAGAAGTGTTTAGCAGTAGCTCATCTCTTAAAAATCAACCCATAATTCATGCTGCACAGAAACCTTTTCAGTGTAATGAATATGGAAAATCTTTTAGCTGGCCTGGAGGTCTGAGTGAACATAAGAGAATTCACACTGGAGAGAAGTCCTATGAATATGGTGAGTATAGGAAGATCTTTAGTTGCTGTGGAGATGGAGACTTTACTAAATATAAGAGAATTCAAACTGGAGAGAAACCCTTTGAATGTAATGAATGTGGGAAATCTTTTAAGCAACATGGAGACCTTAATAAACATAGGAGGTTTCATACTGGGGAGAAACCCTTTGAATGTAATGAATGTGGGAAATCCTTTAAACAGCCTGGACACCTTTCTGGATATAAGAGACTTCACACTGAAAAGAAACCCTTTGAATGTAATGAATGTGGAAAATCCTTTAGGTGCTCTGGGTACTTTACTAAACATAAGAGAATTCATAATAGTGAGAAACCTTTTGAATGTAATGAATATGGGAAATCCTTTCAACAGAATAGTTGTCTTACTGTACATAAGTGAATTCATACTGGAGAAAAACCCTTTGAATGTAGTGAGTGTGGGAAATCCTTTAGAAGGCATATAAAGCTTACTGCACATAGGAGAATTCATACTGGAGAGAAACCCTTTGAATGTAGTGTATGTGGGAAATCCTTTAGATGGAGTGGAGACCTTATTGCTCACAAAAGAATTCATACTGGAGAGAAACCCTTTGAATGTAATGAATGTGGGAAATTAGCGTGGAATTCTTACTACCCATAAAAGACTTCATACTGGAGTAAAACCTTTTGAATGTGGTGAATGTGGGAAATCTTTTAGGTGGAGTGGAGACCTTATTACCCATAAGAGAATTCATACAGGAGAGAAACCCTTTGAATGTACTGAATGTGGAAAATCTTTTCGGTGGTGTGGAGGTCTTACTAAACACAAGAGAATTCGTAATGGTGAGAAACCCTTTAAATCTAAGGTGTGTGGGAAATCATTTCAACAGAATGGTCATCTCTCTGTACACAAGAGAATTCATAGTGGGAAGAAGCCCTTGTAATATAAATAATGTTAGGAATCCTTTCATCAAATAGAAGCCTTACTTAGTCATAAGACAATTCAGCTGGGAAAGAAACCCTTTGGGTGTGATGATTGTGAGGAATCCTTTAGACCAAACATAAGAGATTTCATGAGGGAGAGAAATCCTTTGTGTGTAGTGATTCGATAAATCCTTTAATCAGCATGGAAGTCTTACTGACCATAAGAAAAATTCATACTGGAGAGAAACCTTTTGAATGTATTGAATGTGAGAAAAATGAAGGAGTTAAATTAGGTCTTTAATATCTAATCTGTATCAGAGAAATTTGCTGCAAAGATTCCCTCTCCAGTTAATTGTTTCTCTTCTAATTCTAACTGCATTGACTTTGTATGAACAATCCTGCATAATCAAAATCATCCATTTTGAAATCAGAAAATTTGAGATTTGAGACCTCAGTAGCCATATAATCCCAACCATCCGCAAAAGAAATCCCTGTTACAACATTTCCAGCAAGTTGTTTTCCAGTTGATCTTGAATACCTCCAAGGAGGGTGTACTTCTTGAGATAGGACATTCCACTTTTGGTTAGATCTAATTATTAGGATGTTTTTCTTGACACCAAACCCAAATTGACCTCTCTGCAACTAAATCTGCTCTCTAGGGCTAAATAAAATATTCCTCTTCCATGGGGCCTTAAAGAACTCAATGAGAGCCTTTAAGATACTCAGGCAGGTATTATGTTCTCCCTGAGCCTTCAGCCAGGCTAAACATGCCAATTCTTTCAAGTGATCCTCGTACTGTGGACTCGAAGCCCTTCACCATTCTGGTTGCCTACCCCTGGACACTCTCCAGTTTTTCAGTATCTTTAAATCCTGGTTCCCAGAAATGAATGAGAGATTCTAAGTATGGTCAGACTAGGTCAGAATACAAAGGGACTATCAGTGTACTATTCCTGAAACTCTCCAGTCCAATATTTCATTAACTTTTTTGGCTGCCACATCATTCTGCTAACTCTTATTAAGCTTGCATTCCACTAAAACCCCTAGATCTTTTTCAAAATAGCTGCTGTATACCCACGCTTCCTCTATCTTATACTTCTTAAGTTGATTTTTTTTTTTTGTACTTAAGTGCAAGGCTTTATATTTCTCCCAGTTGAATTTAATCTTACTAGATTCAGCCCAGTGCCCTAGCCTGGTAAGTTCCTTTTGGATCCTGATGAGCATACTAGCTATACCTTTATCCAAGACATTTATTGATCACAATTTTGGTTCAGAATTCTTGTCCCAAGTTATTAAAGAATTGCCTTTCTTGTTCCAATTAATTAATTTATAATATAACACCTTTTATATACAGACCTGGTGTCTATTTGAAGCTTATTTTGGCATGTGATATGAAGTAATGTTCAAAATCCAACATCTACCAGACAGCTTTCTACTTTCTCCAGTACTTTTAGTTGAAAAAGATTCTGTTTACTCTAATAATGGTGTCCTTGGGTTTATTGAACACTTTGTTGCTGCTTGGTTGTTCCTGAATCTTAATCACCTAATTTATTCCATTGTTTTACTTTTCTTTTTGGTAACCAGCACCAAACAGTGTTTTCATGTTTACTGTTTTGTAGTATAGTTTGAATGTTACATAAGTACATGAAATGAAATTTTATTTCCTGCTTCCCCATTTATTTTTCTCCATCTATTAATTTCAATTTATTTACTAATTACTATAAATCTCCAATTTTGCCTGAATTTTTTTTAGTTATATTTTGGTAGTAGTGTATTGTGGCCTCTCAACTATCTTGATTATATTTCTCTTTCTCTTTTCTGAACTTAACTTGAATTGTTGATATATACAAATTTGGGAATTATTAGACATTTGTTACTTTTTTTTTGTTTTCACCGTTATTTTTGCTCTAGTTTGTTGCTCAGTATTTTCTAACTTTTATTCCACTATCAAAATACCATTACTGGCACCCCTGCTCTTTTTTTTCCCACTTGAAGTTGTAAGATATATTTTAGACTAACATCTTCATTTTAGATTTTACTATTTTGCATTTGAAGTGTTTGCTTCACTAAAGTTATTATCCCATTTACTGGCATTCTTTCTATCCCATCCAGAATTACATTGATTTTGGTTTCTGGAAGATGTGTATCTCTTAAGGTCCCTTTCGTTGAAGTTCTTTGTAGAGTTAAACATTTTATTTGACTTGCCATTTGTTTTGATGTTTTGGGGTAAAAGTAGTAAATGTCCCATTTTCACTGGGATTCTGTGCCTGGTTTCACTCAGAGATGAGGGAAAAGTTACCCACTCCCTATGTTCTTTTTGGTAGGAAGATGAGGGAGGTAGAGGGTCCCACTAGCTTGGCGGTGAAGCAGAACATGGTTTCATTTCGAGAGTGGAGGAGAGGGAGCAGGCAGGACTTCCAGAAGGGTGTCTCAGCTCCCTTGCAGTCTTCTGGAGTGTGGTTCTGGGCTGTAAGTTCTGTCTCGGCCTCAGCTCTCTCCGCCTTGGCCTGCAGAGAAGGAAGCTCTGTATTCTGTGCCTGCATAGATGGAGGAGGGGAAAGGGGGAGGTTGGAGTCTAAGCCAGCTTGGGCGGTGGGAGACCAGACGAGGGATTAGAAGCACTAATAACCATAGCTGAAGTGGGACGGGGGTGCTGGCACTTCCTTGGGCCTTCGCTGGGTATGGAAGCCCATACTAAAGGGGCTTCTCTGGTTGGGCTCGTCTGTGGAACAGTCACGAATTTGAATGTGAAGTGCTTAGGGAGCGCGGGCAGGGGGGAGGCCAGAGCCTCGGCTCTTCCTGCCCCAGCATGGAGGTGCTTGTTCTTGGCAGGGCCCTTAGCCGGGTGGCTTCCTAACTCGGCCTCTTTGTATTTCTCTTACTGCTTTCCCGTCACTGCACTTGCTGAGAAGACATGGGGATTTAGTGGTGTTCCATGCTTGATGAAGTCTTGGGAGGCACTGCCTTCCCCGGCTTCTCTTAGCCATCTTGGGGGAGGCCCTTACTGATTATTTATTGAGACGGTTTGTTGTTGGGTCGTTTTTCTCAGTTGTGTCCTACTCTTTGTGACCCCATTGGGGGTTTTCTTGGCAAAGATACTGGAGTGGTCTGCCATTTCCTTCTCCAGCTCATTTTACAGATGGGGAGCTGAGGCAGGCAGGGTGAAGGGACAGGCCTACGGTCACAGCTAGGAAGTCTGAGGCCAGATTTGAACTCAGGAAGACAGGTCTTTCTCACTCCGGGCCTGGGCACTAACCTCGTGACACCCAGCCGCCCGATTAAGGGGGCACACTCACAGGAACACCTACTGTGATCTCTGTTACTGGCATACACTGCGACTAAAAGGCAGTTGAAGACAGGAATTGTAACGAAAGAGCGGAACGTGTGTGTGTGTGAGCGTGTGCGTGTGCGTGTCTGTGTGTGTCTGTGTCTGTGTCTGTGTCGCGGGGGCGGTGGTGCAGGGGCAGTGACAGCCGGAAGCTGGCCAGCTCCGCCTGGCTTCTCCTGGGAGTCACCACCCGCCTGAGGGGGCGCCCTCGGAGCATGCGCATAAGGCTCCCCTCGGCGCAGAACTCCATTTCCCAGAAGTCCAAGCTGAGCGACTTTAGGGCCTCTTTCAGGCACCTTGGAGAGCGACTGGAACAGGAGGGGCTGATGCTGGCCACCGGGTCTTCCGCTTCCTTGTGTCCTGTGCTGCTGCCTGGTGAGGGTCTCCTGCTCCCTCTTTCTGCTCCCCAACCCTCCCCCCTCCCTGAGCACGGCCTCTCCTCCCGCTGGGCCCCACCTTCCGATTCCTCCTCGTCCCCCCTCCCTCGCCTCCCCTCCTCCCCCTGACCCTCTCCCTCTTCCTCCCCCTCCTCCACCTCCCTCTCTCTCTCTTCTCCCTCTTTCTCCTCCTCCTTACAGGAAGCCTGTCCTAATCTCTCTTAATTCTATTGCCTTCCCTCTATTAATTACTTCCTATTTATCCTGTACATAGCCTACTTTGTATGTATTTGATTGCTTATTGTCTCCCGCATTAGATTGTGAGCTCCTGAGCAGTTTGGAACTATGCCCAAAGGGTTTTAAACTGTCTACCCTTTGACGCCCGTAATACCACTATTAGGTCTTTATCCCTAAGAAGTTCAAAAAAAAAGAAAAGAAAAGAAAGAAAAGGACCTATATGTATGAAAATAGTCATAGCAGCTCTTTTAGTGGTGGCCAAGAATTGGAAATTGAGGGGATGCCCATCAATTGGGGAATGACTGAACAACTGAGGTATATGAATGTAATGGAATACTATTGTGCTGTAAGAAATAATGAGCAAATTTTTTTTTCTTCTGTTGTGTTTTGTTTCCTCTTTCTGGTGGTTCCTCCTGTTGGTTCTAATTCTTACAACATCACTAATGTGAAAATATGTTTAATAGGAATGTATATGTATGTGTGATATATATGTGCAGATTGCGTGCTGTATTGGGGAGGGAGGTGGGAGGGAGGGGGAGAAAAAATTAAAACTCAAAAGATTATGGAAGTGATTGTTGATAAAGTAAAATAAATTAATAGAAAAGTGAAAAAAATGAAATACTGAGCAAGATGGTTTCACAAAAACCTACAAAGACTTAAACGAACTGATGGGAAGTGAAGTGAGCAGAACCAGGAGAACATTGTACACAGTAATAGCAATATTGTATGATGATCAACTGTGAATGACTTAGCTATTCTCAGCAATACAGTGATCCAAGACAATTCTGAAGGACATATGATGAAAAATGCTATC